ACCAGACAATTGATGTTGTTAAAGAGTTATCACTAGCGACCGCTGCATCTCCCACCGATCCCAAACTTGCTCTATTTTCGAACAGAGGATGAGGACGAGGTCGTTTCAATAACTATAGAGACCGTGGCCGTGGAAATAGTTCCCCTCGCCCTCCTCGCGCTCCTCGTTTTGACAGACATTGCCAAATCTGTGGTAAACCCGGACACTCTGCTGTCACCTGTTGGCACCGAGGAAACTTTCAGTATTCCTCTCCAAGCTCTTCTTCGGACGTCGCTCTGCTGGCCAACAACGCCAATACAGATTCTGCACCTTGGTAACTCGACAGCGGCGCCACTGCTCATCTGTCGCCCGATCCTCTACCTTCTTAACAACCTTATACTGGTAAAGAACAAGTGCTGATTGGTAATGGCACACCTCTCCCAATTCAACACTACGGCAATGGCCTCCTTCCCACCCCCTTCCGTAAGCTCTCTTTAAATTCTTTGCTTCACGTTCCTCACCTTATTCATCGTCTTCTATCCATTTCCAAACTCGTACATGACAACAATTGTTCTGTTTTGTTTGATAAATCTGGCTTTGCTCTTAAGGACTCGACGACCAACAGAACGCTTCTCCGCGGTCCCTGCCTTAACGGCCTCTACCCCGTTACTGTCCGCCCTGATTCCACCACTCATGTTGCGGCCACAGCTACCACCACCTCCTCCGACGATCTCTCTTCTACCGCCATATGGCATCGACGCTTCAGTCATCCGCATTCCAGAGTGCTTCAAACTCTATTGAAGCAGCTTGCTCTTCCATCTAGTACTTCATTTACTAAAAATTGTAATTCCTGTGAACTAGCTAAGAGTCACAGGCTTCCCTTCTCTCCCTCTAACCATGTATCTAGCTCTCCTTTACAATTACTGCATTTAGATGTTTGGGGACCTTCCCCGGTTCTCTCATATGATGGCTATCGTTATTACCTACTAATTATAGATGATTGTACCAGATACTCGTGGCTCTTTCTTCTTAAACTAAAGTCTGAAGTTCCTCTCCTCTTAATAAAACTAATTAAGTTTATAGAAAAACAATTCAGTTTCCCTGTTCGAACAATCCGCTCCGACAACGGTGGCGAATTCATTAACTCTACTCTCCAGGCTTTCTTATCCAAAACCGGCAGATACCACCAGCTCACCTGCCCGCATACCCCTCAACAAAACGGCATTGCCGAGCGGAAACACCGCCACCTCGTCGAGACCGCGCGTACTCTCCTCATTGACGCTCATCTTCCTTCGCATTTTTGGACAGAGGCACTTCACACAGCTCTCTACCTCATCAATCGCCTACCCTCCTCCTCTAACCCCGTAGAATCACCATACGAACTTCTCTTCCATCGACAGCCGAAATACCACCACCTAAAAATCTTCGGCTGCCAATGCTACCCATGGCTTCGTCCCTATTCTCCACATAAATTATCCCCGCGCTACATCCCTTGCCTGTTCTTTGGTTATGCTGCTCAACAAAAAAAAATACATAAGTTACGATCCCACCACAGGCAAAATTTACATCTCCCGTCATGTTAGATTCTTTGAACAATCTTCTCTCTTGTCTACTATTACTACCCCTGAACCTCCAGTTACTCCCGTCACAGAAAATCCTGTTATATTCCCCCGTGTTCCTCCTCATACAGAACCTCCAGCTAGTCCCCTTAATCCCACCATATCCCCTACATCTCCAGACACATCACAATCTCTAGCCAACTTCCCTGCTCCTAATATAACTACCACTGCTCCAACGCCATCAGCCTCTCTTCCGCCACTTCAACATCTTCACAAACCCGCTCCACCTCTCCTATCCCATTACCCCATCATCCTATGATAACAAGATTTCAAACAGGTTCTCTCAAGCCTCGCCAAATCCTCGATCTTCACCACATTACCGAATCTGCATCTCTTCCCACCTCTTATACGACTGCCGCCAAATCTCCACATTGGCGTCTGGCAATGTCAACTGAGTTCAATGCTTTGCAGGCTCAATCAACCTGGTCCTTAGTTCCTCCACCCTCCAATCAGCAAATTTTAGGCTGTAAATGGATTTTCAAAATTAAGCGCCTCGCCGATGGATCTATCGCCCGCCACAAAGCTCGGCTTGTCGCACAGGGTTATAAACAGGAATACAACATTGATTATCTTGAAACCTTCAGCCCAGTCGTCAAATTTCCTACCATTCATCTCTTCTTAAATGTTTCTCTACATCACAACTGGCCAATACTCCAACTCGACGTCGTCAAAGCTTTCCTCCACGGCATCATCGATAAAACAATCTATATGGCTCAACCTCCCGGTTTCACCGATCCTCAATTCCCAAACCACGTGTGTCTTCTTCGCAAAGCCCTTTACGGACTAAAATAGTCACCACGTCTTTGGTTTTCAACCTTGACAACCTATCTAACAGAACAAAACTTTCACTGCAGTAGTGCCGACCCTTCGTGCTTCATCCTTTCCAAAACCGACATCACGGTCTACATTCTTCTTTATGTTGATGATATACTCATCACCGGGAACAACCCTTCCTTCATAACTTCCTTACTCACAACTCTTCATCAAAAATTTCAAATTCGAAATCTAGGCCCACTTTCCCGCTTTCTTGGGATTGACTTCACCCGCACCTCGATGGGTTTCCACCTCTCTCAACATTCTTACATTCAAGATCTACTCAACACAGCATCCATGACAAACTGTAAAGCTCTCAACACACCTCTACCAACCAAACCTCCCATTGACCCTCCTCTTCAAACTCCATTTAACCAGTCAGCACTATTCCGCCAGTTAGTTGGTTGTCTTCAATACTTGTCCTCCATCCGGCCAGACATTGCGTTCGCTGTCAACAAACTTTGCTAACATATGCATACACCATTACTACTTCACTTCCAAATGCTTAAACGACTACTTCGATACTTAGCCGGCACTATTGATTATACTCTGTTCATACCAAAAAACAGACTTTGCTCTCACAGCCTTCTCCGACTCAGATTGGGCTGGTGACCACGCTGACCGGAAATCCACCACCGGTTACTGCATCTTCCTTGGCAAATCCTTACTCGCGTGGTCCGTTAAGAAACAGACTACTGTCGCCAGGTCATCCACTGAAGCGAAATACCGCTCCTTGGCCGCTATCGTTACCGAACTCATATGGCTTCGACGACTCTGCAGTGACTTCAACATACAACTACCGGCAACGCCCGTTTTCTGTGACAACATCTCTGCTCTCTCCATTGCTCGCAATCCAATTTTTCATGCCAGGACAAAACATATAGAAATCGACCATCATTTTGTCCGGGACACCATCAACTCCAAGCAAATCGACGTCCAACACATCGCCACTGAAGATCAGATCGCCGATGTGTTCACCAAGGCTCTACCCGTATCAAAATTTCAATCTCTCCGATCCAAGGTGATGGTTGTCCCGCCCATCACCTTTAGGGACGGTGTAAAGCAGTAATCATATTCCACTCTTCTCTGCAACAGCAACTATCCGTTGGCAGCACTACATCCTGCGGCAGCCTCCCTGCAGCAACCTTTCTGCAGTTTACTCTATGTTTAAATCAACCTTTGCTACAGTAATTAAACAATGAAATCGGATTTCATCCAATAGTGAGTCGTCTTCCTCCCATGGTTTTTCTTTCTCACTGCTGGCTTCACAGCTCTTTTATCCTAAAGTTTTATCAAGCAAAATGGCTACAGAAAATCATACAGTTTTGAGTTTTTTCACCCCACATACATAGCCGAATAAACATTTGCTATAAATGGCTTACAAAAAACAATCCCTCCAAACAAACTGAGCATTTTCAGTTTTAGAATTTGGCTAAGGCCTCGTTTAAGACAGCTTGATTTCGTCTTTTCAGTTTCGAAATGTTAGAAATTTTTTTTACTATTGTTTGTATGTGCCAGTTTTGCAGAAATATTTTTTAGATAACTATATTTTTGAATTATTTTCAAAAACTTTATGATATTAACTTCTCCGTTACAAAATTCCGTTCTCTCAAACAATAGCTTTAAAACTACCTTTTATAAAAGGTACAAAATAACGAAACGAAACCTAAATCGTCATACACTTATGCAAGCCATTTCCAATAAACTAAGACATCTTTTCAGTTATCATGGTTCTTAAGACTTCAGAAATAAAGAGCTCATTTATATCAGTAATTCATAAAATTCTTGATGAAAACTAGAAAGTTCTATATCTATAATTAGCTGCACATTCCTTTTCTTCTCCATCCAAAATGTCAGACAAGTATAAAAGTTCAGAAATAAAGATAAGAAACATTTTTAAACACAAAAAAGGTGATACTAAGCATCTGCAATAAATGTTACTAAGCATAAGGATTCTAAGGGAAAAATTGAGTCAGTATATTCTGACTCAAATTTGACTAGAATGAATTCAAAGCCATTAGATTCACTTTAAGATAAGTGCAATATAAGTTTTGATTAATTAATCATGTCTTGCACTTATCTCAAAGTAAATTTACTGGCTGTGACCCAAATTTTCTCAAATTCTAAGGGAATTCACTGCAACATAACATATCCTTTGGGCCAAAAAAAAAAAACAAGCTGCAATCTTTTGTATTCTAGGAATAAAGAAGATTGAAATCTGGTAGAGGATTTGTGGATCTATAGCTTTAGATGATTTCCTCCAAACTATCAGATAAAATTGCACGGTATTAAATTTTGCAAATTCAAACAAAGAAACCAGGCCAAACAACCTCCATTTGCAGTGAACTTGCAAAACAAAGCCTGAACGAAGCAAATCAATTGGCTCAAAGAAGCCTAAGGAACCATAAAAGTTGCAGCACATTCAATTTCCACTAATCATGGAAACACAATCACTCATTCTCTCACCCAAAGAAACCTGATAACCACAAGTATTCGACTAATATAATATGATCAGCGACAAACCTAAATATTTTGTTCGAGCAAGCAGAAATAAATTAAATAGAAAAAATTGAAGTGATAAGACAGATATACGTTGCACCTTTCTTAACATTTATTCCTGTTGAGAATTCAAGAAATTCACCAGCATTGTTCTTCAATCATCTGTGCAAGGAGCTCCACTAAGTAGTTTTAGTTGACATCCAATACGAAACATTACAAACAGTTGAAATTTTTAGAAAATAAAATTTTTCAAAGTTGATACACTAATAACAAGCTGGTCCAAAAAATAACGAATTCCCAATAAAAGACAGGAACTTCTTGAATAATCAACAATCAAAGATAAACAACCAGCTCGATAACAAATTGATTTCATCACTCTTGAAGCTTAGGGTATCAAAAGAAGGTAATTTTTGAGGGGGACAAAGGCACCTTCACAGCGCGGCAAATGATCTTATTTTTGTTTGGAAGAGACTCTATCGTTGTAAGCTTCGAGATTCTTTGTATACGCTTCAAGTTCCTCGTAATACAAATCCCAAACGCAAGGGAAGCAACCGTTCCCACAGCAATCGCCTGGCTCAGGCTTCTCAGGTGGCTGGGGAGGCAGATCCGACAACGGGGAAGAGCATTCGGCCGCTTGCGTCGTCTTCGATTCCTTTTTCTCTTCGTTCAGCTTGATCTCGTTGTTGCCGCCGCTCTTCATGATAGGGTCCATCGGAGGGCCAGAGGCGGCAGCGGCTTGGAGGAATGTCCGGTCGTCTATTGGGAAGTTCCGATGGTTGTATCGGCGGCGACGGGCAGGTTGAAGGAAGAGGAACGGAATCGGAGATGGCACGGCGACAGTCCGAAGAAGAAGAAAGTGGACGGATGAATTCGTCGACCAGAAGCAACCTCTCATACGTTCCAACTTTGCTGAAAGGAAAATGCTCTTCATTATTTAAATATTGGCATTTCTAATATTTAAATATATTTACATAATATTTAAAATTTTAAATTATATAAGAATATATTATAAATATTTAGGGTCTGACTCGTCTTTCAAGACGGCCATATTACAAATGTCAATTGAAAGCTTCGCAAAAGTATAGTGTCACTCTAACGTCAGGTGATAGTCTGACAGCACTCCGATGTCAGCTAGTGGTCCGATAGTGGCACTTCAACGTCATGGGGCATTTCGACGTTCTTTGATGGTCCAGTGGTGATTTGAAAAAACTCCAACACCCCTTGGTGGCCCGGCGATGGTGAGGCAGAACTCTGGCGTCCCTTGGTGGTCTGGAGGAGGTGCGGCAGAACTCCGGCATCCCTTGGTGGTTTGGCAATAATGCGGCAGAAGTTCGGCTGTGGTCGAAGAAGAGCTAGGCGGCCGGAGCTTTCTTACTTCTCTCCCTTCTTCTCTCTTTTCTTCCCCCTTTTTCAAGAGGAAATGAGGTTCTATTTATATAATTCTTGAGTAGCATGACTTGTAAAATAAGTGGAAGATTAAGGATAAATTGGGAGTCATTCGGATGGACAGCCGATCTTGATTCCTACGATAATGCACTGTTCAATGGACCTTTGACTATCTTAATAATATTAGAATTTGATGATCTTGGGCTTGTTGGATTCATCTCCTCGAGCCGCTTGATTCGACTATAAGCATGGCACGGTCAGAAACCGTTTGGTAACCCAAATTGAGGTTTGATCCTTCCAAAAGTGCTTCAGGTCTTTGATTTGGACTCATTTGGGCTCAGATTGGGACGATTTTGATGTCGTTGGGTTCGTGTTTCCAATACTCTCACTTCAACTATAAGTTTGCATAAATCAGAATTTGGATGGTCTCAATTTTAATTTTTGAAACTTCCAATTTTATTTTACCTCAAGATTCGGCCTAATTAACCAAATGGTTGTACTATCCAATCACTTTTCAATCGTAGGAGGCACATTTACCTCACATTGTTTCCATGTCTCAACAACGGTGTAAGATAATCAATTATATTAGCTTGAATATTTTCTACTAACAATTAGAGATCAAATGATGCACCTCTCCTTTCTATGCTTATCCTTTTTTTTTCTTAGAAATTATTGATCTCGCAAGATTATTATTATTTATTTGATGATAACAAATATTATGATGTGTCAATCTAATATTTTGGCAAATGTTTTCGGCCTATAAAGATATAATTATCCAACTATATATCATAAATATTATTAAAATTATTTCGTAATTTTTAAAAAAAATATATATCATAAATATTATAAAAATTATTTAGTAATTTTTTTAAAAAATGTATTTTGTTAATTTTATATTTATTTGATTAGCTCTTAATTTCTCATCTATAAAAAATTATTTTAAATATTCAATCGCAATAATTTGCTCATCATAAGATCGTTATTCACATGCGAGTTATAGTGAATTTCCTGATCCCAAATTTCATTTATATTTATTAAAGTTGTTAATTATACTTAATTAAGTGTTAATTACATAATTGTTATACTTAAATTAGAGGCTAATTTTGATTATATTGAAATACAAATTTAATTTAATTACCAAATTGCCATTACATAGGCATGTTAACAACTAGTTGACCGCCTTTCGAGTGGATTTAGCCATTTGGGCTAGATTTTGAGGGCAAATTATTGTATCCGGTGTCCGGATTCGCCCGGACACCAATAAAAACGCACCACATCACTCAAAAATACCAGTTAATTAAAGTTGTCAAGTATACTTAATAAAGTGTTAATTACATAATTGTTATACTTAAATTAGAGGCTAATTTTGATTATATTGAAATACAATTTTAATTTAATTATCATATTGCCATTACATAGGCATGTTAACAACTAGTTGACTGGTCTTTTGAGTGGATTTAGCCATTTGGGCTAGATTTTGAGGGCAAATTATTGTGTCCGGTGTCCGGATTCGTCCGGACACCAATAAAAACGCTCCACATCATTCAAAAATACCAGGGCCCAGTGTATTCCGGTGAGGTGGCGTGTCCGGATTGGATGTCCGCATGTCAGGTGACCGAACGCAATAATTTGCCGATTTTGAGTGGATTTAGCCATTTTTTAATATGTCTAAGAGAAATGTTAAAGACTTATTAAAGCCTATAAATACTCTATTTTTTTTAATAAAAAATAATTTTAAAAGAATGAAGCTTTGTAATAAAAATTATATGAAGAAGAGTTGGGAAATCACAAGTATGGATCAAATCACCCCTAACACACATTTTCTCCAAATAATAATAATGCTCACTTTCCCTAAAGTTCTTTATCAATTTTAAAATAATAATTATTGAAAGGAGCCATTAAAATTTCAAACTTTTATTTATTTCAAAATTCAGAGCATATTTATTTCTTAGACATTCAAAATTATGATGAATGATAAAAAATATAATATATCAGCACCTTTAAAATTGTAAAACAATAAGGTCTGTAAGCAAGTTTGTATACATTTTCATGATTATCCAACAATGGCTATAATAAAACAAAAATCAATTTTGTATGAACTTTTCATCCTGTTTATGTTTCTGACTTTGTTTGGGACGGCTTTCTTACTACTTCTTAAAGTAGCTTTTTAATACATAAATTAAAATATTTGTTTTAAAAAATTGCTTTAAAAAGCAGCAAAAAAGCCGTCCCAAACGAAGCCTCTGTAACCAATTCAAATTATTCGTATGATTAGACTTTCAAAATTTTGCTTGCAAGCACACGTTCTCTTCTCTCAATATGTGCGAGAGGGAACCAGCCTGCTTTCCCCCCGCATTCGCCTTCTGCCCAACCATTGCCGGAAACCTGGAGATGTGCCAATTCTTGTGAGAAATTCAATAGGGCAAACAAAAGTTGATGCGGAGCATATTAGTTAAATCAAGGCTTAGGAATAGCTTATCTAATTTAGTACCTTTTTCTAGAAAGTTCTAGGCATTTCTATTATATTGTTATAAATAGGTGCTATAAGTAGAAGAAGAGTATGATTTAGTATTTTTGGAATTTGAAACAGTTTTCACTGTTTTTGATCTCCAAGAGCTATGTAGCTCTTCTTCATCTTGCTTCTCCATGTTTCTCCCCACATCAAAAGTGTACAGTGAATATAACAGAAGAAGAAGGATTAACCATGTTTTAATAATACAATCGTGGTAACGGTCACTTAACGGTAAAAAAAATGTTCGATAAATATCAAGTTTTTGAAATCATCCACGTAGGCCTTTTGTGCATCGTATGGTTTCAGTGTATTAACACAACTGGGTTTCAAATCTTCTAAATAATCATTTGTGCCTAACGGCATCACAAATTCACCATTAGATTCGGTCATATGATATGAGAAAAGATCTTTGTGAAATGTTGGATGCATTCCAAAGATAATATTGCCCCTTCCTGTTAGATGTGATGCTGAGGAGAGATTATTCTGTGCGGGCGTCCGAACGTGTTTGGAGGTAAATCCGGACATGCCACGTCACCGAATGCACTGGGCCCGTGGTGACGTACGGATTCGCCTCCGGACGCCGCACAGAATAATTTTTCAATGTTGAGAGCGTGGCAGAGAGGAGAAGGTGATCACCGTGGAAGGGTCTCCACTGGGTGGCATGGACAGGATTGCGGACATAGAGCTACATCTGCACTCCACACCCAATAAAAATTCGTGGAAGAGGGCACCAAACATGGAGTTGCAACTAACAGTGCCAATAATTGTGGTGGTGGATTCAAAGTTTTTGTTGCCACCATTCACGAATCGAATTGATTTCAAGTGATTGGAGGAAAGATGAGATTTTGAGGATTGGGTGTTTAGGAGATGAGATGTTGGTCTGGATTTAGTGAAAAATGCTGAAAAATATTGGTTATCGAAATAAAACTCAAATGTTTAAGAAAAAGTGGCAGATCAAGGATTCATGAATTTTATGTTTAAAATATTATATTTAATTTATAATATGTTTAAACAACTTACAAGAAACTATATATTGCTATATTCAGTAATTATTATAATAAAACAGTGTAACCAATGAGATCCAGGTACCTTTCTCACAACAATGTAGTCCCCAGCTGACAAATTAAGCTCCACATCTGACTCAGCTCGAAATGAATGCATGGCCTTCAAAACAAGAATATAAAAGTATATCAAATAACTAAAAAAACACTAATGAAGAGCAAAATAAGATAAATTTAAATTAGTCACCTCTCCCAAGAAAAACTCCATGGAATCAGATGATCCATCAATGGCAGCCGAAGAAGAGATGCCATTTACTTCTTCATAAGATGGAGGTGGCGGCATTTGGTTTTCTATGACTGGCCTCGGAGATGCTAGGCTTGGAGATGCTTCTACTCTTTGGCGTTCAAGTACCATCTGTCAATCAAAACCTTTTATATGATAGTTTTCTCAGAACTTTGTTAATTGAAATCAAAATGAGCTTGTCATTCCTGAATTAGAGGGTATACAGGGCTGCAATTATGATTTAATTTAAGTAGGATTCAGAAAATCTTATTAATACAAAACTTAACAAATCCGGGTGGCTTTAAATACTGAGAACTGTTTGACATGGAAGATATCAAAATCCGATTGAATCTTAATAAACTGTTTGACAGATCTTTTCAATATGTAGGAATTAAATGAAAATGAAGAAAAGGAAAAATGAGAATAAATGGTGCAAATCTGTTAGACCGGTCCACGCGGGACCGGCCTGAGCACGAACGAGGCAAACTGCCTCCCCCTCTTTTCCTCAACCGACCGCACCGCAAGCGCCGGAGGATCATTTTAGGAAGGATTTTTGAGGGATTTGGGAGGGAAATTTGAATGTAGGGATTGTTTAGGGATTTCCTTTTGATTTGTATGCATTAAATACTTTGTTTTCCTAGGGTTAGCACAGCTTGAATTTGGCTGAAATTTGAGATCTCCTAGATTTAGGTTTTTCTTTGGGCTCTAGCGGTGCCTAGAGATTTGGGAGAGATCGATCATCCTCTCGAATGGAGGATCAATTTGATGGCCCTGATTTTAACCTTGAAAATCCACTAAATACTGAGCCTTGTGAGTCCATACCAAGTGAGATCCCAAGCCTACCTCCATTTCCCAAAATTCCCTTGCCGCCGCCTAGCCCAAGACCTCCCAAGCCGCTGGCCACTTGGCTGCCACCTCCCGCCGGCCGGCCAACCCCATGCCGTGACCCGCCCCTTGTCCCTTCCTCTAGCCGCCGACCACCCCCTCCTTTGAGTTTCAAATTTGAAATTTCAAATTTTCTTGGGCCATTAAATGTTTCCTAATTTAACTCCCTAATTTATGCAATCAATTTAATTGAATTTCAATTTGAAATTCAAATTGATCCAATTGATTGTCTTCATTTTAGGAAGTTCTTATCTTAAGAAAACTGAAATTTAATTTCAAATTTTTGTTAAATCTGTGATTAAATTTGTGGTCCCCACTTACTTAAAACTCAAGCTCCTCTCCCCTCTCCATATGACCGGCCCCCCTTAATGGGCTCTCTCCCCTTTCCAAATTGCATTAATAGCACCACAAATTCAGCCCAAATCTTCTCCCCTTTGTCGCCCCTCTCGCCCTCCTTAGATTAATTTGAATTTCAAATTAAATCCCTCTCCTAAACCACTAAAATCTGAATTTATTTCAGATTTCCTGCACTTACCACTTAGCCCCCACCATAGCCTAATCCCCTCTAGCCTTCACGCCGGCCAGCCCTCTCCACTCCAAGCTGCCACCTCCTCCCTCCCCTCTTCCTCTTTGATGCCCCCTCAACTCCTGGCAAGGATGCATGGCGGATCCTGAACTTGAAGGCGGACTCGTATTCGACATCTACGGAAACATCCACGTTCTTCGATCTCCATTCTTCGACATGGGGTTCGACCACGACGACACCATTGACGATTACTTGGAACGAATCCTCCCCATCCTTGTGCACGTCATCGACGGGCAATTTTCAGACTACGACTGGACCATCCACCCGCTTCCCCACCTTCACCGCCGTCGCTTCCCTCGCTATCACTACGGATCGTCTGCGCCGTCTACCTTGGAGTTATCTTGTTTCTCATATGGTTCTTCTTCCTCCGACAATCCTAGAAGTAGAAGAGTGTCTTTATGCCACAAGGTGAGACGATTACTTTGTTAACCGTCGTATTCTAGTTGAATAATCATATCATTACGTTTGCTTAAGTTGTTATTTTAAGAATCTTGCAAATTTAGTTGTAATGACTTGCCTAAATATTGTTAACTTCTAAGATCTTGTTTTGATTTGTCAAATTTGAGAAGCATTAAACTACTTTATCATACTCAAACAAATTTTATTAATTTCTACGAAAACAATTCCTGGTTTCACATCAGTTTTTTTGTGATTTTGTGGAGAATTCTCGTGGTTCATGAAGATTGATAGCAAATACTTGAGATCTACAAGTGTTTCCTATCAAAATCTCAAAAATTCTACTTACCCAAAGATCCACTAAATATGAGATTTAGCCATAAACCGTGAGGAAAAACTGGATTTAAGAAGGTAATAGAATTTATGTGATTTAAAAAACTATTTGGCAGGCTAAATTTTGTAACCAAACAAACCTTAAGGAGCAGTTCAAAATGAACTCCATGAAGGCATCATCGATAGTTTGAATAATGCTTGGATGGTTGAAGAAAATAAAGTAACACTTAAAAAAAAGGTTCTAATGAGCAAAGTAACTATAGCAGGACCACTAACCTCTCCTTCAAGTTGCTCAAGTATTTGTACTATCCTTTGATGGTAAATGCGTTCTGCTTCAACCTTCAGTGGTCATAGAGAAAAATAATCTGTGATGTTCAAAAGAATAGATTACCAATGAAGCAAGGAAATGCAATACCATTGCAATGAGTCTCTGTAAAGTTTGCTTCTGTTGTTGAACTTCAACAGAAAGCATTGCTGATGCTGCTTCCTTGCCAAGGACTTTCATGTTTGATTTCAAATCTTCTAGCTTAGTTTCAGCAGCTTCCAACTTTGAAATATTATCAAAATTGCCAGGGACTTCCTTTGCTTTTACCCTACGTTTTGAAACTTCAATTGCCTGAAAGAAACTAAAAATACAGATGAATGCAAGTTTCCAGCTAATGGGAATAAAATATATTAAATAAATTGATATTTATGTAAAGTTGTGGAACGAGTTTTCTCATTATAAGTATTTTTTGGTGATTTCATGTGTAATTTAGATAGGGATAGATTTTTGGTTATGGAAGGAACACCATAAATAGAGTTTGCTCATTAAATTAAAAAAAAAAAAAAAAAGCAGAGTGAAAGACTATAATTTCTCGTGTAAAAATTTTCATTATCAGTATAGTGAAAGCTGGAGCAGTAGAAAAAGTAGTCATTGATTGGGCAAATTGGTATAAAATTTTTTATTTATTTTGATGTGTTTTATTTTCTTCTATTTATTTGCTCTTAAAGATATGAATCTGGCCGTGGAACTATTCTCAACAATTCACACAATCAACAGAAAAGAAAGATCATTGCATAACAGTAACAACTTTTAAAATAAATGTTCTCCAAAAAACCCTAATAATGATGAGACGTTTACAGAAGGCCAAGAAACTCAAATTTCACATTTAAGTTGAAAATTTCTTCCAGAAAATCAAACTTATACCTGAGCTTCAGCCTCTTGATGCAATCTTCCATACCGCTGAGCAAGATGTCGAGCATCCTCCAAAGGAGCACCGAGTATCAATGCTCTTAAGGGTTCGGCAACCTGGGAATCAAATGGTTTTAAGATAAGTGATTAAATAAGAAAATAAAGCTCCACGTGAGAAGTGACAAAGGGTAAAAGAAAAAAAATATACATTTTCTTTGAATCAGAGCACTTTACAGCAACAATAGAATTGTGAGACCACTCTATTTGTGATTATTGTTGATTACTTGGTAGGAAGCACATCAACTTTGCCTAAATTTGCATGAAAAATATTATATACTTAATTCATCGGAGTTGGTTTTCTTCAAGTAGGGTAGAACGTTGTAAATTTGAAAGATTTTATTCCTTGAAAATACAAATCATATGTGTTGATATGATTTAAGTTGTATCTATGTCTTAGTTTCTATTTTCACAACTTATATTGTTGTAAAGCAAGCCTATGATGGTCCTATTAAGAATTGAATTTGTTCTTTAGTATTTTTATTGAGTAAAAGCTCAAAATAGTCTCCCCACTATTAGTAAATATTAAATTTGACATTCATGATAACCCAATTTAGTCTCCCGATAATTAGAAAATATCCTATTTGATCCCAAGGCTAAAAGCAACATTTAAAATTAACCCCATCAGTTAAATGTGAGAGCATTTTAGGTATTATAGTGAATGTGAGATTATATTATTATCTTCCTACAATTTTTTGTTATTTATCATATTAAAAAAAAACACAAAAATTATAATGAAAGTTAACCAACTAAATAATAAGAGTGAATAATTAATAAATGTAATTAACTTACATTATAATTTTGATTTTATTTTAATATGATAGATGATAAAGTATATAAAAAACTAATATAATATAACATACATCCTAATATCCAAAATGCTCTCACATTTAACTATTCGGTTAACTTTAACTATTATTTTTGTCTTTGAAACTAAATTGAAATATTTTCTACTAGCCAGGGGATTAAATTGGGACATTATAAATGTCTAAGACTAAATTTGGCATTTACTAATAGTCGGGGGACTATTTTAGGCTTTTACTCTATTTTTATTACTTTGAAGGTTTTAATTTCTTATTGCAATACATTCTAATTAAGCTCTTGGATTCTTAATTCAATTGTTTATAGTTCGCTACTTAAGCACATGGCGAGTTATCTTGGTTGGTATAGTTTAATATGGATTACAACTAGCGGTTCAATTCATCTTTTGGATATTGAGGGGCCATGTTATTTTGGGCTTGTAGTTTGGTTGTAAGTGTAGCGTGCATAAACAAGGAATTGCTTGACTTTGCTAGAGAGTGAGTTAATGAAAAACTTAAATTATGGAGGTCAATCTTAGAGTCTAAAGATTTTCGTTTTAGTAGATCTAAAATTGACTACATGGAGTGCAATTTTAGTAGTAAAAGATCTAGTGATGAGATGTAACATTGGTTGATTAAGTTATTAAAAAAAGTGCACGTTTTAGATATCTCGGGTCTACTATTCAAAGCAATGCTGAAATAGATAGGGATATTATTAGTAGAATTCAAGTTGGATGGTTGAAGTGGAAAAATGCATCGTGTCTGTTGCATGATAGAAAACTACCTCTCAAACTTAAGAAATTTTTTTATAAAATTGTGGTGAAACCTACAATGTTTTATGGAGCAGAATGTTGGCCATTAAAAGTAAAGTATAAAATTAAGTGTTATAGAGATGAGGATGCTCAGGTGGATGAGTGATTTTACATTTAAAGACATAATGTGAAACGAATATATATGTGAAAAGGATGGAGTAGGTTCGAAGATAAGATTAGAAAGAGTTGTTGTATATAGTTTGGTCACATAAAACATCATTCTTCTGATGATCCTATTAGGAGCGTAGATGTATTAGATCCAACCCATGTTAGAAAAGATAGACGTATGCCTAAAAAGACTTGGTTAGAAAGTATTAAAAATTCATTTTTTATTAAATTAAATGAGAATTTAACTCTTTATAGGACATAATAGAGAAAAAAAATATTAACGTAGCCGACCTCGTAGCAGGATAAAGGCTTGTTGTTGTTGTTGTTAAAATATTAAGTTTATGTTTTGCTAAATTGATGTTGGAAATTTGTCATTTTTGTTGAAATCCAAAAATATTGAATTGAAAGCTATAGTTTCAAGCTAGAACTTGGAGGATTCGAAGAAGTCACTGCTTTAGGACATTTTATTACAAACAAGATGTTCCTAGGCATAAAAATTTCAGCATATTGTTTGATAAAAATTTATATTTGCTCTCCATACTTGTTTTGTTGGATGTAGATGCTTCGAGCACTTTACAAGTCTTGAACAACTTTCAAAAATACTTCCCTATATAATGATGCAAAGCTTGGATATTCCATTGGTAATAATATTTTTGTTCTTTCATCGGAACGAACTTGATTTATGATTGAGATATTGTCAATTTCGATACATATTGCTTTCTATTTTTATGATGTGAATCCTGATTGTTGTGATTATCATTCTCAAATTCCTTGTAGAATTTTAGATTTTAGTTATTTTTATACTGATATTTGGAATGAATGATGTATGTTTTCTGATTTTGCATCAAAAGAGAGATTTTTGCTTAAATTAGTTATGAAACAGTGAATTTTAATCTTTTGTGTGTTTATTTGAGCATCTCCTCCTAAGTTTGTATTAGTAATCCTAGAACTTAAAACGCCCTACATCAAAAGGTCTAGATCGGATGTTGTGCTACTTTAAAAATTATGTAGTTCTATTATTCATAAATTGAGAGTAATTATCAGCTATGTAAATCAATGGTTCAAGACATTATCAGGAAGTGAAGATATGGATCAACAGAAGGAAAAACTTCACCTGCAATATTGAAGAAAGACATACAAAAAGAATTAATGAAAAATGAACGCAGGAGAAGCAGTGTTATTAGTAACTATAGTAATTTTGATCTTAAAAATAAGATCCATGCAGCCCAAACTAGCAAAGACAGAAAAACATACAAAAATATCCATCAAGAAAGTATGTAACAAAACCTGGGTGCTATAAACTCTCAATAAATACTCCTGTTCCTTCGTCATTTGTGTGCGTGCTCTAGAAAAACTAAATGCAGCTTTAGTTAATGAGTTACTACTTGTGCAGGTATTTTCAGCACCATACTTCCTACTATCTTCTGCCATCTTGTTACCTGAGTTATTCGGATTATTTAAAAGCAACTTAAAGATTCAAAGCTTAGAAATAATGATTTACTTTTATTAACGTACCAATTTCCACTTGCTTTGAGCCTGTAACAATGTAGCCTTCCAAACCTCGAACAACATCCCTTTGGAAATGCTGGAAGGTTACAGCACATATTAGAAACATATCTTGTACAATTTTCATCGTTTTAAGCAGACTACTGACCTTGCATGAGCGGGTTGATGTGTACAACTTTTCGATTCTGTGGTGCTGCCGAAGTTCAACCTCATCTAAGCTTATGTTTTCAGAACTTCCAAACGATCCACCTCCAAATTGTTTCAGCACAGCCTACATGAATGCTCAAAAAATAACAAGAAGCATCATAACTCATAAGGTATATGTGAAAATTCCATACTCTTAATCCAAAGGTTTCCACATGGAAAAAAATCATAGAACGAATAGAGAGTTAAAGACAATAGGGAAAATATCATAAACTGGTAGTGCACTTCTGCATTTAGCTTCACAGTTTGTTTCCATTGCGAAGTTTGATCAAGATAGCAAGTCAGCGCCTTCCTCTCAAATTAGTTCAGAGTAACTTTCTAAAAAGAGATAATTGTAAAGGCAATGGAGGCAGGTAGATGATGACATCATGCTATGATTATCAAGAATCTCTTAAGTTACAGGCAGGAATCAAATACAACAAGCAGATTTGGATTTCAAAACCCATCCAATTTATCATAAATTTATTTATATTCAATATCAATAGAATCTACAAACTTATACTTTATGTTCTTGGAGAACTAATTATATATTCCTGTGAAACAGTAAAGATCATTGTATACTTAAGAATGTATTTTTTAGATATTTAATAGGTAATTAACGGGTCCTAGCAGATGTACTCGTATCTTGTGGGCCTAAGACAATACACTTAGAGGGGGGTTGCCTCTCACAAAGACAGTCAAGAGCCCTTACGGATTAATCAATTCGCCACTCTCCCTCCACCAATGTGTGGCCACTCTCCACTATCCATTTCTAAGTGTTGCTAACTATGCTCATCATATCAGCTATAAGAAAGCATTCATCAAAAAGGGTATCAAATCACCCATTATAGTCGGCGAACCATGGAGTCTGTCATCCCCACAACCTAACTGCACTTGCCTCCTACTCCTACGTAATCCAAAGCTCCACCACAGATCGCCAATGACCTCGAGATGTCAAACAACTATAGCCCTCTCAGTTTAGCATTCGACGACAAACTCACCAGTACCTACTTGCCTCAAGTACTTGACACTGTAGGACTCGCCCAATGGTAGAAAAATGGTGATTAAGAGGAGCAATCATCCTCCAAGCCAATCAAGATGGTAAATGTGTCTAGGGAAGTTTTTACAGGGAGTCATTATCTTATGTATTTTTATTTTTTTATTAATGTTGTTTTTCCTATAACCTCCATATTTCTATATATAAAATATAAAGAAGAACATTTTAGATCTTTTTACATCTTTAACAATCTTTGTCACTTGTACTACAAATGTTTTAGCTAGTGGACTACTTTCCCCTCTCTCTCTCTCTCTCTCTCTCTCCATTCGTACACAAATTTTCAAGTGAACCAATATAGCTGGCCTACTAGTACGGTCGGGTATCGCTGACAAAAAGTTTGGACCCAACAAGTATACAACCATAAAATTTTCAAAAAACAAACAAAAAATGTAATGCCAAAGTACACTTGATTTGCCATAAAGGACCAAAAGTACAAGCACTTTGAAGAGAAAAAATAAAATAAATTATGACAACTATCAACAATCATATATCTAGTCAATCTAAACCCAGCTCAAGATCTCCTCAAAGTTATTAGATCAATCTAGAACAGAGTCACCTATAGGTTGATTTGACCCAATCCCAACTCAAACTAATCTTGGCTCGATTTGAGCCAAGAGTTTATTTAATTTTAACTTAATTTCAATATTTAAGCCAAAATCTTAGTCTAAGATATATATATATATATACATAAGTATGCATGCATGTACTGATACATACATATGCATTTTAATTATATCCCAAATTAGCTCAATTTGATTGAAACTCGACTAAATCAAAGTTCAAGCCAAGATGAGCATGGCTTGCAAGTTAACTAGTTGTTTTAATCCAAGCTCATTTTGAGCCAAAAACTTATTCAATTTTCGGAAGATTCACAATGTTCAAGTCAATTTCACAATCCTACATTTAACAATCTCATTAAATTTTCAATTAGTGGACACTGTGTAGGATTTACTTAATGTACAAAACTTAAAATAAAGTTCTAAAGTACCTAAAAATACCAAAAAGAACAAAAATAAGCAAATATTTCAAGGGACTAACATTTAAAATATACATAATATCTTCTAGAGAAAATTGAAATAAAGAATTAAATTAATTTGACAAGAAATTGACAGACTAAGGACTTGAATATCAATTTTAAGCTGAAAGATTGTATACAATTGTGATCATTCCTACATGGAGCACACTTATTTTCATCAAAAGAACTAGCTTAAATTCAAACGTGTATACTCGCATATACCTCCACAGATTAACTCCCTTGATAATCGACAGGTGCTACTCACCTAGGCCCATAGAAGGAAATCATCTCTTAATAGGAGGCACTCAAGCATCATCACAGCTCACTTGGCTTGCCACTCGCCTCATACCTCAGGTCTCCTGCCAGGGTCACTCACCCTTAATAGTGGTGAGACCATCCTTATTCACACCCGCCATCTCAACTATAGAAAAGCGCCCACCAACAAAGCTCTCTATTTGCCTTATCTCCACCATTCTACCATAGAGCTCTTCCTCCTTGTAATAATAACACATTCACCTCCCTCTTTGAAGGTGATCTAAAATTCCAATACAAGTTGCCGACAACCTCAAGAGGCCTACTAGCCATAGTCCACCTCAACTCAGAACTCGCTAATGGACTCGGCCAAGCATACTTGTCTGAGCCTATTCAACACTATTTAACTCACCCGCGAGACAGATCATCAAAATCATACTACGTCATTCTCTTCTCGGCTAGTCAAGAGGCGATAAGTGTCTAGGACCATCTGTACTAAGAGTCATTAAATTTATGTATTTATTATTCTTTCATGATGCTTTCCCTATAGCCATTAGATCCCTAAAAATAAAAGATGAAAAGTAGGATTTTGGATCTTTTGATTGATTGAGATCTTGAGCCCCTTGAGCATCTACACGTTTTCTCGAGTAAATTATTTTCTCTCCAATCTCACACAAGTTCTAAGTCACCTCTCACATATTTTACCTACTAATAAGGTCGGGTATCATCCATGGAGATATTTGATCCAGCAAAAAATCTAAAGTTATGAAGCAAGTATTCCTGTTTTCAAATCCAATGTATGGAAACTTGAAATCGAATAGGTTGAAGAAACATAGAAGCCAGAAACCAGTAGTTAGATTCAAATAATCCCAACTTCGACATGTGATTCAACTGTCTTATTTTGCAATCATAAATGAAAAAAAAAAAAAAAAAAAAAAAAAAAAAAAAAAAAAAAAAAAAAAAACATAGTCAACATCTGAAAGCAACAACCTCCATATTCTAACAATTAACCAGAAAGATCAGAGAAGAAAACACGAACACGGATCCATCAACAAACCTTGAATCCCAACTTCCACCACTTCCCTCCACTTCCCATCACGATGGCAAGCATCAAGCCTATGCTCGGCACTAATTAAACCAACTATAAATAAATCTATCAAAATCTAAAACTACATATATAACGCAATTTCTTATAGCGAGAGAGAGAGAAAGTGCAGAAAGTGCAGAATCAATCAAAATCTAAAACCAACTTCTTAAATCTATCAAAATCTAAAACCAACTTCTTAACCCCAAATCCGGAACCAAAACCAATCCGAATCCGAATCCGACGGAAACGACTCATGATTTCGAATTGAAGAAAGTGCAGAATCAATATGGCGAGAGGAGGCCACCTGTTGCTGCCGAGCGACCTGATCCCTAAGCTTCCGGAAGGCCTCCATGCCTGATCGCGCAATTGATAGCACTAAGCGAGAGGAGAGATCGATCGCCGATCTACTTGTAGAGAGAGAGACGTGAATTTACGACAGGCCGGCGATTCCGAGGAACTACAGTTTTTTACATTTTTTTTTTTCCGGGAACTTTGAAAATGACTTCGTCGCTTCATATAGGATTATAGGTTACTATAATCACAGGCTTGCTTGTGGCTCTAGCAATGATGGGCTTAGGGACCCCACTTATTATTGCGAGTCTAAAGTTTTATATTTGCATTGTCTCATATTAACTCACAAGCTCATTTTTTATACTTCAATAATACATTTAATATATTTTCTTCTTAATCTTTTTACTCGTGGATATAAATTATAATCTACTTATTTTAATAAGATATCCTAAAATTTATAATTAATAAATTATATAATTTTTTTAATCAAAGTTGATTAACGTATCTTATTCGGATCATTCGGTTTGCTAGCAAAGCGAATTCGATTGATATTTTTGACTCGTTTATTAAATGAGTTGGATTTGAATTGACTGGATTTAGGTTAAGTTAATTTTAGGTTGAACTCAAACTCAACCCGTCAATCTATTTTGACATCATTGCAGTCAGTCTTCACCACCTAAAAATTCTTTGAATTTTGATAGAAATTCTTTGTGCTTAGAAATTATGTTTAGAAAAAACAACATATTTTAGTTTATAAATTGAGAGTTGAGACTTTTTATTAATCAAAGATGCATTATATATATATATATATATATAATTCCTATGTAACATCATATGTTCATGAAAGTTCGCATGGTATAATGCACCTAGAGATCAACATAACAGAAGTATTGAGATGTTTAAGAAAAAATTCGACAGCATATTCTGATCAAAATTATAAAGTTGTTTTAATTATTTTGAGTTGAATATAGTATGTGAGGAATTGAACAAATTTTATATTATATTTATCTTAGGCTTTGAGACTGTCCCATTATGATTAAAAAATTTGGTAATAATATTCTTATCCAATTTTTCCGTAATTAAAAGACTCAATAATCAAACAAGAAGTTTACTATTGAGGTTATCGACTATTGAATTGCTTGATTGGATGTTTTTTAAATGCAAATATTTTTAGAAGGGGTGATTATATAGAATACACTAAATTTTGAAAATATAACAATTATTTGATTGGATATATATATATATATATACTTAGGATACATTTTAAATTTCCTTTCTTGCTTTCTCTTGCATCTTTATTTATAAGCTTGGGAGAGGGATAGCGGGCCATGCAACATGAGGCAATGAGTAAAGGGTGACAAAATGGATTTGAGGGTTAATGGATAGAGAAATTATTCTGTGCGGACACCAGATACAACTTTATGTCTGAAGGCGAATCAAGTGTAGCCACATCAACGGTAACGAGCCATGTTACCGGGCAGTACCGAACAAAAAGGTTACGTGATACATTTTGATTGATCTCCGTACATAATATTTTTTCCAATGAGGGTGATAATATGGATGAGGCACAAAGATGATGGGTGTAGGTGTATTTGTGTGCTGATTTTGAAATTTTTAAATATAAAAAAAATGTAATTTTTTAGAAATATCAAACCCATAAAATTTTATTTTATTTTATTTTAATTCTCTTTTGATTCAAAACAAATGGCTAAAAAAAATAAAATAGTGAAAAAGTAAAATTTAATACAAATAATCATTTCAACCAAAGAGATCCAAAGTGTTTCTTATGATAACTATGCGTCTCATGCTCAGGCTTCATTTGGGATGACTTTCTTAATTCTTCTTAAAGTAATTTTTCAATAAAAAATTAAAATTTTTTGCTAAAATATTACTTTAAAAAATAGTAAGAAGGCCATCAAATTAAAGCGCATTGGCATGACCTAGCCTAGATTTAGCAAAATCATGTTCCATGAAAACAAGACAACTGATCATATTTTCTGAGGACCATAAAACATCATATTAGCTATTTTTTATAGAACTGATTGAATTCTCTAAACAATCACCTGGGAAAGAACTGCTCTAACTTGGCTTATCAAGAAGATACAATCAAATATATTAAAAGAAATTTGCATAGTACTTGGTTGCTAGAACAAATGTCATTTTATAAGTACAATGTAATTATAAAAGCATATTTACAGCAAATACATTGACATTGGGATTTTGAATAGTGCTACTTTACAGGATTGATTAGCCTGTACAATATTTATAATGCAGAAGAAGCTTCCATTGAGTTGTGGAAGGATAACGCAGCAAGCTTCCTGCAAAACAATCATACTGGTCTTAGTGAACAGATTTTCTAACTATTGTAAGGCCAAAAACAAAATTCAAGGATTTTTTTGTCATTGAATTTACTCTGTGAGATAAGTACAATGTAATTTTTTATTGATTAATCATATATTTAATTCATCTTAAAGCAAATCAAATCACAATTAAATTCATTTTGATTAGATTTGGATTAGATTTCCTGACACAACAAACGTTGCATAAGCCTTTCATGATTCAGAATAAAAAGCAGAAGATAGCCAAATATATACCTATGACTGGAAGAGTGTAACAGTAGCGATATAGCCATTTCTCATAACCTATGAAAGCATATTGAGATAAAGGCTTATTAGTGCTTGTTTTATGATAGAAGAGCCTTGAAAAACAGTTAAGGTAAACTTGAGATGGAAATGTAAGACGGGCAGAAAATCTAATTGATTAAGGTTTCGTTTGGGATAGTTTTTTTCCTGCTTCTAAAAATAGCTTTTTAGTATAAAAATTAAAATTTTTGTACTAAAAAGCTAATTTAAGATGCAGTAAAAAAACCATCCCAAACAAAGTCTTTTTTATTGCTTTTTAAAACAGCTTTTTAATTCAAAAAATAAAATTTTTATACTAAAAAGCTGCTTTAAGAAGAAATAAAAAGCCGTCCCAAACTAATCCTAAATCCACTGTGAAAGAAAGAGAAATGGGTAAGGGTTTAACACCTCAAAAGCTATGTTCTGATATCCATAAACAAAGGTAGGGCCAAAAGGGTTGTTCATCGATCCTTGTGTTTGGATAGCAGCTCGGCCACCATCTCCGAGGATCTCCTAAAATGACAAAAGTTCCACTTGAAATTATTTTCAACTAGAAAAAATGGCCTTTATTTGTAACAAAACATGAATTTGAGCAAATTGGAACTCAGCATAAGGTGAATAGAAACTGAAATTGTAATACAGAAGTAGAAGATTCAAGTATAAATGAAGTTAAAAAAAAAATTATGGTGAATCTATTCAAGGAAGATTAAGCCTGTCAAACATTTAAGACCTTTTAAGGAACAAAAATAGCAAATCTCACCAAGTAGTAGACCTAAATGGATCCTTGTCTAGGTATCGGTGGATACAAAGACGAATACCATACAAAAAAGCAGTACTAAAAGAAGTTGGCGCTATGGTTTCTTTATTGCTATGGTTAAATAACTTGCCACAAAATTTTGCACTGACTTTGTTTTCATTACATAAACAGTTTAATGTAAATAAGAATGACTCTTGATAGTACACAATGGAGAAAAAAAATTATGTAGCCGACTAGACATAGTAGGATATAGGCTTTTTGTTGTTGTACAAAAACAGTTAAATGCTCTCTTTTTTATAAAAAAAAAAAATCAGAGAAAAAAACATAAAAACTTCTTCAAATTCAGAAACAACACAATGCATAGCATTTTCAGCTTTCCCCATTGTTGTCCTCTAGATGAGAAATTTACAATCACCTACCATTATAAGTACCACAACAACAAACAACAACATCAAGTCTTTATCATACTACATAGGGTCGACTACATAAATCTTTTTCTCCATTGTGTCCTATTAAGAGTCAAAATTTCATTTAAATCTAATAAAGAAATGTCATTTCTAATTTTTCTAACAAAATCTTTTTAGGTCTACCTCTATCTTTAACATAAGCCAAATCTAAAACATCTACTATCCTAACTAGGTTATCGGAAGGTCACCGTTTTATGTGACCAAACCATCTAAGGCAACTCTCTTTAATTTATCTTTCATTGAAGCTACTCCAACCTTTTCACATATATGCTCGATTCTTATCCTGTCTCTAAGAGTAAAGCCACTCCTCCACCTGAGCATTCTCATCTCTTCAATTATTAACTCAATATTTGATGTGCTGGTTGTTGGCTTTATATCCCCTTTAGGCGGTGGACTCATCATTATAAATTGAATAAAAAAATAAAAATATATAAAAAATAAAGTGGATGGCACGATTGGCAGGTTATGTTTATGGGATTCGTACGCTGAGAAATGGGATAGTGCTCATTAGAGTTATCTTTTAAGGTGGTGCTGTGCAGAGACTTGCCTTGGAGATGGGATGGGTCTATTTCACATGCATCACAAATCGGTTGCTTGGAAAAATAAGAATTTAAACTGAAATGGCTTGTAGCTAGAGTTCTCTGAGTAGGAAATTTCGCTAAGCTGTTTTGGAGAATGTAAAATTAAATTGGAATAATTTAAACTTAAATTGAGACTAATATTGTGCCAACCTTATCTACTAGCCTTGGGTGTTAGGAATCCATAAATAGATGCTTTTAGGCATATAAGAAATAAAAATTTATCTCGAAGAAAAATTTTCTTTTGCAATTTTCAATATTGTGGTACAAGTTGGATATTTTTCTTACTTGTACATGTTTTATACATAATTTGTTATTGGCCAGTTTAGTGCTCATGATTTTGTGATACATCTAAAATATAATTTTGTGAACATTAATTCATTTACTCACTAAATTTGATTGTTTTCAAATTCTTACTAAAACTCACTGATATTTATGACCATTTCATTATCAATTGGCTTAAAACTTGCTATGATTTATTTTTATTAAAATAAAATAAGTTGTAGTATAATCGGTAACTTATGATCAATGAATTTTTTGCTTTCCTTTGAATGAAAGCATAATACACATAATATTAATTGCATAAGGAAGCCTAGACCTAAATCATCCAACATCGTCATTGCCATGTGATTGCTTTACTAGTTTTAGATCATTGGCTCGTAAATCGCATGTAATGATGAAAATTTTAAATATTAGAAATGTAGAGCATAATATTACACCCAAAGTAACAACCATGAAGATCCCTCACAAAGTGACTACAACATAACATTAACGGAGGAAAAAAAATCTACACCTCTGGAAATTAAGGCCTTTGATCCATCATAGATGACCAGGAAATTGAGATCAACATCAGGACTGTGAAAACAGAGAATTTGAGAGGGAAAAGCTTGAATTTTATTAAGCAATCCACTCCCTATTTATAGATCTATACAAGGTATATCAATAAGGAAACAAATAACTCTTATAATAATATGAATATAATTATTCCTAAATCAATGGGAGGAATTAATGCAATCCTTGTAGTCCTCCCACGGATTACTGTTCACAACCGTGGATGTCTTCGGGATCGTAAGGTTGAGATTTAACAAGGACAATCATTATTGAATCGTAAAGCTAACTTTCATAGCAATCGGTTGCTCATGAATGAGAAGACTTTGAACTGAATTATTACAAATAGAAAATAAACTAATAATAACTATAAATTCTTAAATGTTTCAATATGCCAAACTCCTACTTCCAATTATAAACACAAAAAAAAAAATTTTTTTTGACCTTTCTATGTACAGGCGTTCATTTTCTGAGATGAACACCAAGAAGGTAAGAGTAAGAGAAGAACTGACAATTTGCTAGGCAAACTAAAAGTGAATATCATGACCTAAACCAGTTCTAAGGATCAGAAAAAAAGGGAAATTAACACAATTTTGTAACTAAGCATCTCTATTTTTTTTTTTTTTGGTTGCAAAATCAACCTGTTCAGGTGGATTTTTGCAAGAATACATAATTTTTCCTTGCTATTGGATTTCTTTCGGGAGTCTCACGCACTGTTATGATTTTTTTATGTTCTAAAATTCTAGTTCATAAAAGTAAGCAAAGGTGAAAACCAAGTGAAACTGAAAGCAATGCCAAAAGATAAATCTTCTCTGCAATTTAAAAAAATTTGCAGATATGTATAGTCAAAATACCTGCATATTGAATATAAAAAATATCAAGCTTCACACGTCATGACAATAAATAACTCACCAACAAAGGCCAATATGCTGACCTGCTTGAAGCAGTCGTTGAATAAATTACAATAGAATACTACAGAAATTTTTACCTTTACTTGTTCCCACTTTGTCCTAGGTGTTATGCAACGCTTAGAGGAGCCTCCTACTGGAATAGGTCCTTCAACTGCAAAAAATGGCACAACAGCATGAATTTACAGACCAAAAGACCAATGCCAAGCGTTGTTGTGTATTTAATACTCACTTTCAGCATCATAAATGACAAAGTTGCATTTGGTATAGGCGTTAAAATCTGAATGACCAGGATAATTTGTATGCAGAACAAATTTCTTGATTCTATGAGTCTGCAATAGTAAAGTAAAATATCAACTATACTCAGAAAATAACCAATAATAAAAATACTAACATTATAAATGAATATACCTGTCCATCAAATAATATGTCTAGACCACGTGAGAAATAATTGTAGAAGTAATCTCCACATAGAGTGGTGCGAGGGCGTGGGTCTGAAGCAGAGTGGATAACCATTTGGTCAACCTAAAACATTAAGATGAGTGCTTGTATTCATGTTCACATTTGATGATAAAGTTACAGCCAAACGAAATTTGGAACTTCAAGAGCTTAATCTTTTTTTTCTTTTTGTAAGATTCATTTCAGCACTAGATATTTGGAAAGCATTCAACTTTAAAAGGCAGGCCCACCTGCTTCTGATGGATACCACAAGGACGTCCTAACTCCGTCCATACATCCTTCAGATAAAAACAAAAAAGAATCAATGAAGAGTCAAACTTGACAAAGACATAATGCAGAAAATATTAATTTTCCAATCAAATATGTTATTCAATACCTGTGGTGATGCACCAAAAGGAATATGCTGGCCTCCAATCGTGAACCACAGTTCTTCCCCAAGCTTACAAAAACAAAAACACCATATAGCAAGGAAGTCAACCACCAAGGACAGCTATAAACAACTTAAAAAATTCACATTAAAAAAAGTAATTGCTTCCATGCAAAGTATTACGGTTATTGAACCTTTTTTTTTTCAAAAACCAAGTAACAAAGGGAAGCGTCAAAATCAAATATGGGGACCAACGTTAGCATGAAGCTATACCACCGAAGTAAATATTGCATTTCCAGAGCATTCTTACCTATCATAATCTTCCTTAACTTCCAATTAAGTGAAAGGGATGTTGAAATGCACACCACTAAATCTTGTCCAATTACACACCATGCTCAGTCAATCAAGTAATGCATATAAACCTCAATCATCTCTACAACTTTATCATTTTGAAACACACTAGAAACAAACCTCTAATAAGTGCAAGCATTTGTTAGTGTTATATAGGACATTGATATTGATATAACACACAGCACTCAATGATACTAAAACAATTGTCCTGACAACAACTATAAATATAATGAATTTCCATTTAAGTTTCCATCAAACCTTTTGTTCATTTAATATAATTTGAAGTATGTAAATGCCTCACAAAAACTCACCACACTGATCCTAAGCTTGAACCTTTGGTTTGCCTATTGGTGGAGCCAACTTGTCCCCTGGCTATAGACCACTGACTTTTTAATATAGTAAGGTTAAAGACCATTCGTAGCACTTGAATTATCTTGGATTGTGGTTGATTCACGAGTCCATTTATGCAACCAATCATCACTATTGTAATCCTATCATTCATTGGAAATTACTTTTATGGTCGCCATCAAATTTTATATAAAAAAAAATGTATTATCATTATTGTTATTAGTATTAATTTTATGTCACATTTTATTTTATTTTATTATATAAGTTGCTACTTGCTAGCCTCTAACTATGATAAACCGACACTTCTCCTCAAAGAGGCGTGCAGTGTCCAACACCGTATCCGACACGACACTCGTCCGACACTTGTCGGACACGCCGAAAACGTGTCCGATTAAAAAATATTAAATACAAATTGGACACGCATGTCCGACACGCGTATCTTAAATATTTTATGAATTTTTTTAAATATAAGCTCTTGCATTTTGCAGGATTTAAACAAAATTTCTTATCTCCTATCCACAACATCAAATCAACGTCCACACTTAATACCCAATCATCAAATATTCTTATTTTCATTTCTTATTAGCAGTGAAGGTATTTTCATCTCCTTTCTCGGTGACTGATAAACGGCATCAACGCATGACTCTCGACATCCTAATACTAATTATTTTAAGCACAAATTCTAGTTAAATGACTTATTATTTTCAAATTCTTTTTAAAATTATACTTATTTAATTTTTATACATTATTTTTAAATATAAAAAACTATAATACCGTATCCAACCCGTGTCTGTGTCCTATATTTTCAATAACTGACATGTCTCGTGTCCGTGTCGTGTCGTATCCGTGTCGCCGTGTCCGTGTCTGTGCATCATAGGTTATTAAACTTATATAATAAAATGCATCTAAATTTAAATTTTGCTAAAATTAAAATTGTTTAGTTGAGATAATTCTGATGTGAGATAAAATGGATAGTTCCGTTTAGATGCTTGCTATGAAAGAGTTTAGAAGAAGGTGATACATTAATAAAAAAAATGGTGGTGAAACAAGGAGGGACAAAGCTTTATTAAGAAAAAAAAAAGTAATTTTAAAAGATTAAAAAAAAAAAGAATGTCAGACAGATTTATCATTATTATAAAATGCTATAATTCTTTCAAACAGAGTAGTGAGTAAAATAAATGTTACATCTTTTAATAATTTATATAATACACTTTGTAATAAAGAAGAAGAATAAGAGATAGATATAATAGCTACGAGTAAGGATAATAGTTATGTGAATTTTCATCAAGGTATATGCATTAAAAGTGAAAATAATAGGATCTTAGTTAGAAATTACATAAAGGCCCCTCATTTCTACAATGTTGTAAGACACCCTTCATTCACGGAAATACATAAAGTTCATCTCACATTTTTTAAGATATAGAAATAGCACTTTTTGTAAACGAAATTGGCCAATCTTATCAAAATTCCCTCCATTTGCCAAAGGTAAGGCCTCCCATCACACCATGTTCGTTCCCTTGTGAGCTTAGGTGATGCAGAAGATATTTAGATGGTAAGATTTCGGTAAATGACTCTAAATTAAAAAATAAAAAAGGTTTGTGTAGGACCCTTATTACTACACATGTTGCTAAGATGTCCCTCATTCACGAAAATCCTAAAGTTATCCCACATTTTTTAATATATGTATATATATATATATATATATATATATATATATATCCTTTTTATTGATTCAAAAATTTCACCAATTTGATCAAAATGCCCTCCATTTGACAAAGGAGAGACCTGCCATCACATCATGTTCAGTTCCTTGTAAGCCTAGCTGATGTAGGCCGGATGTTTATATAGCAACATTTGTGTAAATGTCCCCAAATTAAAAAACAAGGAAAATTTGCATAGGGACCCCTCATTTCCACATACTTTGCTAAGATGTTCATCATTCATGAAAACCCTAAAGTTCACACCACATTTTTTTAAGAAATAGAAATATTCATTTGAATAAATGATAAAAATGGCGGATCTGATCAAAATGCACTTCATTTAACAAAGGTAAGACATCCCATCACACCATGTTCATTCCTTGTAGGCCTAGCTAATGCAGACTGAGATGTTTAGATGGAAGCAAATTGCTTGAACTCATCTGCCTTCCATGTAGATAGCCATGAAAATTCCATGGGGATGAGAAATACGTCATGGATGTTCTTTTTTGTGTTATCACTGTATGACAATGGATTTTGCTCATGGATCCAATCATAATTTGAATTTTGCTCAAACTGAAGGGAAAATATTATAAGATGGTGGTGAGACCTGCAAAGCTTTATGGCGCAAAATGTTGGCCATTAAAAGAGTAACATAATAATAAGTTAACTGTTGCTGAGATGAGGATGCTTAGGTGGACGAGTGGATTTACTCTTAAAGACGGGATGTGAAACGAGCATATCTGTGAAAAGGTTGGAGTACCTCCAGTGACAGATAAGATTAGAGAGAGTCGTCTTAGATTTTGTTCATGTAAAACGGCGGCCTTCCGATGACCTTGTTAGGAGAGTAGATATACTAGATTTGGCTTATGTTAGGAAAGGTAGAGGTAGACCTAAAAAGACATGATTGAAAAATATTAGAAATGACATTTCTTTAATAGATTTTAATAGATTTAAATGAGGATTTGACTCTTAACAAGTCACAATGAAGAAAAAGGATTCATGTAGCCAACCCTACGTTGTGGGATAAAGGCTTGATGTTATTGTTGTTTTACTGTATGACAATGGAGGAGATGGAGTTCTCCAGGAGAGAACTGGCAGCAGTAAAGAGATGGAGTAAAGATAGTGGTGATGAAGTGCACTTGTGACTTGAAGCGGGCATGCTGTAGGAAGACCTTGCGTTATGGCTATTGAGAGATGATGGAATGACGGTGGAGATTGTGAAAGCAGATACCTTGGGGTGAGTGACAGCTATTGATGGAATTCTGGGTGCGGTGCAGGGAAAAGAAAATCTTGGGAGAGGGAGGAACACAAAAGGGGTAGAAAGAAATAAGAAAGATGATTAAATGAAGAGAAAAGTGGCCAGCCTGATAAGTGAGAAAAGAAGGGCAAGAAGGAATAGAGTAGGCAAGGAAGAGAGCTCATGAGAGGGGAGAGATGCCTTCATTTCAATCATCAATATTTTCTATTACATCCCATCCTTTTCCATTTACAAAGAGGGACTCCAATATTTTAATGAAATGAAAACTAATACAAATGAAACATAAAGAATACAACACAAGCATTAAGCATCATAAAATCTAGCCCATGATCGTCCTGCATAACTAGACCAAGCTAACTTCAGTAAGGTAAAGGAAGATGTCTGTTCCAGTGAAAAGGGAGAAGGATGAATAAAGGCGGTCAACTAAATTTCAAGTACTGCTGGTGCTTCAATGAGTAGGTGGGGGTATCAAACTTGATGGATCAAGATGTAGTTATCAAAAATGTTATAATAAACCTACATGCTAACTGGTTTTAAAATTAGATGTCATCTGCCAGCTTCAAAAACAAGAAACCTAAGTTGTAGCATGATAAAAAGAGCATGATGTATACCTCCCAAAAAAAATGGTAAAGGTGATAGTAAGACATGAAACTGTTTGAAATAACCCACAGAAAGCAGCATGATCAAACAGATGCCACACAATTATAAGCTAAAAAATGAAGATGCATGAAAAAAAATTGGATGTAGAAGCTAACCTTAGCATGCACTTCCTCCATGTACAAGCTGCCAGCAGGCAAAGGAGGTGCAAGAGCCTTACTCATCAAAGAACCCACGCCAACCTTACTGTCAGAAGAGTTGTCGTAAACGGACACACGGCATGCTACAGGGGTAGTTCCATCAGGAAACTCTAGAGGCAGATCTGCTGAAACTGCCACGGTAACAAGCAATAAGTGTGTGAGATCATTGAATTGATTTTTTGCATAACTCAAAAACAAGCCAACAATCCATAGAAACTAAGATGCATACCTTCCCCATCATGGCAACAACTTGTAAATTGACTAGGGATTGGAAAAGCAAATGATAATCCCTGATAGCATACATGTTAGAAGAGGCAAAAAAAGACAGGAAGATTGAACGGTATGCACAAAAGACAATAATTCAGTAGGCATACTGGGTAAAATAATGTATATGTTCCTCTATCTTTGTCATAAATGCCTGGAAATGTGGGTCCGAAGAGAGCATATACTGCTACAAAAGTTGCAAGGGTTGGGCCACTAAAAAAAGAATGAGAACTGAGATCAAAATTATACAAAATAAAAAAAATAATAATAAAGTTAAAATGTTGTATTAGCACTTGCCCAATCAAAGAAGTTGCATAACGCATTTGCAGTCGTGTAACTTCATGAACCTCAATCAGCCGCAATCTCTGCATGGAATAGATGGCTAACTTTTTAATCATCACAAAATCACGACTGGATCAAGGTAAGATTTAATAAGTGGAAAAAGCAAGTGTTGCAGCATTTGTTGAAACTGAATAAAAGTCAACTCAATAATGTTTGCATAGATTTATTGGGTTTTAGTAAAGTTTGTTTTCTTATACTCATAATTTTGCAGCATCTTAAACTTCAATTTGAATTTCAGTAAAAAAGGATAAATTTAAGGAACCACAGTGTTGACACAACACTTCATAAGAAAATTAACACCTGTCAACAGAGAATTTTACCTTGCATTCATTCCAATCAATTAGAATAAATCCAATGTCGCTTTTTCACTTATCATTATCTCTGTGATACTATTTGCGGAATTATGGTTTACTTTCCAACTAAAACCACTCAGCACCAACTATTTGTAAAATGAAATCATCACTTTGTATGTAGAGTTTAACACAAATATTGATTTCTAACTAAATCAACCAAATAATGGAATCTAATTCTAATAAATTCATAATTGTTAAAACATGAATTCTGACTTCATGCAAACAAATGGGAAAAGCAACCATAAAACCATAAATGCTTCCTAACTAGTGGAATAATTCATCAATTTAAGACGCAAATTTAAAGAGAAACATGACCATAGATACGCATAAAATATAGTTTCAGAATTTCACCCAGTAAATGCTTTCAATAAATGATCAACTATGGGAAATGCTTAATAAAAAACAAGAAAAGGGATACCTGTGACCAAGGATCAAAACGAAGATGGAAACCATGATCTGGAAAGTTAATAACAATATCCAACTTCAAAGGCTCCTGCAAGAAATGGTTTCAAAACATTAGATAGTTCCATGAATAAAAGCATTAAAAACCTTTTACATATTCAGACAACTTTGTCTTGAATTGAATGCCAGCAAGATCCCCTCAGCAATCTCATTGACAATGCATTTCAAAACAACAAGATCCCCTCAACAATAAATTACAATATTTCAATAATAAATTAAAATGATTCTTAACAAGCATAATTTATTATCATAAACTCTAGATAAAACTGTATCCAAGTATGATAACATTCTCTGCTTATTTTTTGCCTCTGAATGCAAAGCCAAGCCACCTTATCAATATCTCACATGTCATGCATGATGCAGAAAGGAACATTTAGGAATATGGAGATCTTAATAGCCCTATGGATCACATAACTTTTTGGAGAAAAAGACCTCTGGAAAATACTCTCAAATTTTTTGAATACTTTAAATAACAGAAAAAGGTAGCAATACGCATATCAAGAAGTGAAACTTCCATACTACTTTGCTGGAAAGTTCGTTAAATGGAAGAAAAAAAAAATCCAGGGTAAGATGCATGAGTTTTCTGTAAATGAATTGCACTGATAAAGTAACTCTAAAAATTGTTAAACTCTATTATTCCTCATCTCTGATTTCAAGTTGTCTGAATAGCATAAATTGGTCACATGTCATTCCAAACTAGTGGGACACATCTCATATTTTTTAAGATTACTAATGTGTAGGACGAGTGGTACAATGTGAGGGCCTTCAAAAAAAAGGAAAACATGAAACCTGGATTCACACATTTTCAATCATCAAACTTTCCAAATATTGCATGAAAGCGTAATTTAACGGTGCAAATAGCATAGGTAATAGCAAGTGAGAAATATCAAAATTAAGCTCAGTTGGAGCCATCCAGATTCCAACTCACTAACATTCCCTTACTAACTTTTGCACTTCGGTTCTTACCACTCACATAGATCAGAATTAAACACATCATAAGAGAATAATGCAGTGCAAGGCACTCCAAACAAAACCTACAGAGGAGAATCATTAAAAGAAATACAAACCTCATCAAAATATTTGACATGGACCACATCATAGATGTTAGGCTGGTGCTCTATTTGAGCAAATGCTTCGCGAATGGACATTCCTGCAGGAAGTACAATAGAACATCAAAGGAAAATTTATAGAATTATATAAAACCATCTTCAGCATATATATCACCAAAAGGAATTAAACCTTTTCATCATGCTAGATATATGACTTTCTAACAAATAGAAAGATTATAAAAAAGATTCTATAACAAGGTTCCGTGCTCGACTGCAAGTGCGGAAAGAAATGAATATCGATTAGTCTAAAAAACTCTTGTAATGGCACTTAGGTTCCTAACAATTTCAGTCGATTCTAAATTCAGGGTGATTATCATAAAATAATTTTCATAACGCCAATCCATTAGAATTAACAATTAAATCATCTAAAGCATGAATGCTCGAAAACTGTAAAACTCTTCAACTCTGTCTACAGTATAAAATATAAGGAAGCACCAAAACAACTATTCATCGCCTAGGCCACATCAACGAGTTATGAAAAAAACACCCGCTGTAGAACTCCAACCAATCGGTGACCTGATTTGCCACCAGAACTCGATTACAAACATAAATTAGATGAGTCAAAATAGAAGGACTGATTACCTAGGGTAAACGGCCCAATTCCAAGTCCTGGTCGGAGGTCGAGAGTGATAGCCCCCATGGCCGTACCCTCGCACCTCCTCCTCGGCCCAGCTACCGCTGCAGCGCCAGATCTCTGCGGGCTCTGAAGCTGCTGCATCTCAAATTCTTCCCTCTTCTTCTCCTCCTCCTCCTCCTCCGGCGACGCTTCTTATACGTTTCTTGTTTTTGCGACCCGGAATAGGTAACCTAGTGGCCCAAGCAAATTGTGAATGGGAAGAGGCGCGAATTAGCTCCGGTTGAGGTAATTTACTGTCATGCTTCAAACAGCGAACAGTTTTATGTTTTCCTGCTTACGAGGACGCGTGTCTTGTTGATAGTATATAATGTTGTTACTTGTTAGACTATTCCATTAATTAAATATATTTTTTAATTATTATTAAGGGAGTGTAATTATTGGTAAGATTAATATAAATTAATTCATTTGAATACAAATATGATGCAAATAAAAAAATCTCAAATATTTGTCATAAATCTAATCGTATCATTATCCAAATTATATTATTGATATGTCATCAAAAAATTATCTTAGTCGGACGCAAATCTCGATGCAAAATTAAATTGGAAACTTCAAAATTTAATTCGGAGACCATTTGAACTCCGATTTCAGAAAACTTGCAGTCAAACTGAGCGTCTCTGAAATACGAACCCAACGACACAAAATTCGACCAAATCCAAGCCCAAATCGGTCCAAATAACGGACCCGAAGCGTTGTTGGAAGGTTCAAACCACAATTTGAGTTACCAAACGGTCTCCGATTTTAACGAGATTATACTCGAATCGAACGGCTCGACGAGACGAATTCAACGAGCCCAAGATCACCGAATTCCGACATCATTAAGGCATTCAAATGACCAAGGAATGGTGCACGATCGTAGGATTCAATATCGACCGTCCATTCGACCACTCCCTATTCGCCCCTGATCTCACGCCTATTTACGAGCCATGCCACTCCAGAAAATCTATAAATAGAACCTCATTTCTCATGAGAGGAGAGGCAAGCAAGAGAAAGAAGAAGAGAAGAGAAGGAAGAAGCTTCCCCTCGACAGCCGCCGCACCACCGGAGGAACCTCGCCGCACCACCACCGGACCACCACAGGACCTCGCCGGACCACCGCAGGAACCTCGCCGGACCACCGCAACAACCTCGCCTGACCACCACCTTAAGGCCCGACGCTTAGTCCCTACGTCCTGCCAAAGACCCGACGTCCTACTCAAGGCCCGACGCTTAGTTCCTACGTCCTGCCGAAGACCCGACGTCCCGCTCAAGGCCCGACGCTTAGTCCCTACGTCCTGCCAAAGACCCGACGTCCTTCTCAAGGCCCGACGCTTAGTACTTACATCCTGTCGAAGACCCGACGTCCTGCTCAAGGCTCGACGTCCAGTCCTTACGTCCTACCGAAGACCCGACGTCTTACTTAAGTAACTGATTGTAATCTGATCACCCTTGGAGGTGATTCAGTCCTTTGTAACCGACTCAAAGTCTAGTGGAATCATTTTCAACTGGGCTAGGCCCCGTGGTTTTTCCCCCTTTAAGGGTTTTCCACGTAAAAAATCTTGTGTTCTCTGTGTGTGAGCTAGTTATCCGTTCAACGCTAAGACGCAGAATTAAATCTCTACTGCCGCGTATTTTCTAGCCGGCAACAGTTTGACGCCGTATGTGGGAAGCAGTCAATCCCACTATACTAAGTACTCAGTCAATGGCCAACAGACGTAGCCACCGCATCATGGGAACCTCCCACTCCAATTCACACCAGTCTAGGAATCAACCCCTGAATCAGGGACGATAGGCATCTGCCTCTTTTCACCCCGGTGGACGGAACCTTGCCGGAGAAGGAACTTCAGGACCATCCCTAGAAGAGCGCATCAGAAAGATGGAAGAATCTCAAAACGAGATCCTACAACTCTTAAGGGAGACTCGAGGACCAGCATTAGTACCTCAGGAGGACATTCTCCTCTCCCGAGACCAGCCAGGTTTTGAAGATATTCTTCATGTGGAAGTCCCCCTTCCTCCGCCAAGAATGCGCCCTCTGACATGCCCAGAAAATGAGCTTGCTGACACAGCAAGCTCTACCCATCCTTCACGCACGGGCCATCGGCAGCATATGCCTCCGGACGTCCCCGAGGACTTGGACCAATAGCACGTCACTAAACTCCCCCGCAATACTCTACGACATGAGTTGCGGAGGCTAGTCCGAGAGGAGTTCCCCACAGGGGGTATCAGACAGTCCCTTCGCCAATGGGACATTCAGGGGTCATCGCCTTTCACCGAAGCTGTCCTCCGATACCCCGTTCCGGCAAGATTCAAACTCCCGAATATTGATTCTTATGATGGGACTTCAGATCCCTATGAGCATATCGACCACTATCGCACTATTATGCATATCCAGCAGGCCCCAGACGCTTTGCTCTGTCAAGTTTTTCCTGCCACCCTTAAAGGGCAAGCCCGGACATGGTTCTACTCACTACCCCCTAGTCTATTCCACTATTCGTTAAATTGGCTAAATTATTCGTCGAATAATTTGTCGCCAACCGAAGAATGATCAAAGACTCCTCCTATCTCTCAGGGATACGTTAGAATGATGGTGAATCTCTTAAAGAATATTTTCAAAGATTTTCCACGGAAGCCCGACAAATTCCTGGGGTAGATCCCGAGTTGCTTAGAGGTGTATTTCTCGGAGGGCTTCGCCCGGGTCCTTTCTACTCGGCACTAATGCGCGAAACAGTACATTCATACGCGGATCTAATTCACCGTGTAGAGGCTCAGATCTCCACCGATGAAGCCATTAATGCTCATAGGAAACAATTTGAGCAGACAACCGGGAAGCGCAAAAATCTCCCAGGGATGGAAAATCCCTCCGCTTAAAGGAAGAAGCAGGGAAACTATAATCTTCCTCCTCGACCCTCACAGCCACGATGAGAGCCTCGACAAGAAAAGGAGTACACACCACTCAATACATCCTAAGCGAATGTATTGATGGACATCCGAGATCAGGAGAGCGTGAAGTGGCCTCACCCTTTGAAGCCCAACGTTGAAAACCAAGAGCAATATTGCCACTTCCACCGCAGCCGTGGGCACACTACTAAAGCGTGCATGCAGCTCAAAGAAGAAATTGAGAGACTGATCTGACAATGATATCTCCGACAATTCGTTAAGAATACACCAGCTAGAGATGAGGTTGGTCTGACTGGGGGCAAAATTAACAACAAAGGTAGTCAGTAAACAATCACCTAATAGTGGGGGAGATCGAAACCATCGCTGGAGGCCCATCAACGCCTTGTCAAGTTCTGATTATAGAGAACAAGGAGCCACCAGCAAAGAAGCTTCATGTCGATCACTCTATCACCTTCAAGGAGTCCGATCTAGAAGGCGTAAAGACCCCTCATCAAGATCCACTGGTGATTAACGTAGGAATTGGCAGCCCATGCTACAATGTTAAAAGGATCTTGGTTGACAATGGAAGCTCAGTAGATGTTCTATTCTAATCCACTTTTCTTAGCATGGGCCTATCCAGAGAGAAACTCCAGCCTGTTGCCGGTCCACTATACGGATTTGACAACCGACCTGTGAGAGTTGAAGGAACCATTACTCTCCCGGTCGTACTCGGAGAATTCCCCTGCCAAGTTGAACACCCCATTATGTTCATTATAGTGAAATCTGAATCAGCCTATAATGCAATCTTTGGAAGGCCACTCCAAATAATCTTCGGGGCTATTGCTTCAATTCTACACTTAAAGCTCAAGTTTCCTACCCCATCGGGGATCGGAACAGTACGAGGAGATCAACAAGTAGCACAATCATGCTATCTTAGGCAGGCTCAACCACGCTCATCAGTTACTCTAAGCATTGAGGACTTCGATCTGCGGAATGAAGATATCCCTCAAAGGGCCTCCCCTGTAGAAGATCTTACCTGTGTCTCTCTATCAGAAGAGCATCCTTCGAGAACAGTACAGATCGGATCACTCCTCTCAGATGCAGAGAAAAAAGAATACGTAGACTTTCTACGTACAAACCAAGATGTATTTGCATGGAGTTCTGCTGATATGCCCGGCATCAATCCTGAAGTAATCATGCACTCCCTCAAGATCAACCCAGATGGTAAACCAGTGATTCAAAAGAAATGAAACTTTGCGCTAGAACGTCAGCTGGCCATCGAGCAGGAGGTTGATAAGCTTTTAAAAGCAAGATTTATAAGGGAGGTACACTATCCCGCTTGGTTGGCCAATATCGTAATGGTTCGAAAAGCAAGTGGAGCTTGGAGAATGTGTGTAGACTACACCGATCTCAACAAGGCCTGTCCCAAGGACAGTTTCCCGCTTCCCCGTATAGACCAGCTAGTTGATGCCACCTCCGGGCATCAGATGCTAAGCTTCATGGATGCTTATTCTGGATATAACCAAATACAAATGGATTCTACTGATGAGGAGGCAACAGCTTTCAAATAGATAAAGGATTATATTATTACCTGGTATGCCGTTCAGGCTCAAGAATGCAGGGGCAACATACCAACGGCTAATGAATAAGGTTTTTAAGAACCTTATCGGGCGTACTATGGAAGTATATGTAGACGACATACTGGTGAAGAGTCTCGAGAAATCCCAACATATTTCGGATTTGGAAGAATGTTTCTGCCTCCTCCGATCTTACAACATACGCCTCAACCCCTCCAAATGTGCATTTGGAGTCACCTCAGGAAAGTTTCTGGGGTTCATGGTTACCCACCGAGGGATTGAGGCCAACCCAGAAAAGATCAAGGCCCTAAGAGACATGATACCCCCGAGAAATATCAAAGAAGTCTAGAGACTGAATGGAAGGATTGCAGCACTCTCCCGATTTTTGGCTCATTCGGGAGATAAATATTTGCCTTTCTTTAAGACCCTCAGAGGGGCTCGTAGCTCGGGATTCCAGTGGACTGATAAATGCCAAGAGGCTTTTGAACAACTCCGAACTTATCTAGCCTCACCACCGCTACTCTCAAAGCCGGTTTCAGGAGAAAGAGCGAGTCCGCCGGACTCAGCCGCGAGACAGTATCCACCGAGTCGACTATGACTGTTACTATATCTGAAATGTAAAATCCAAAGTTGCGTTGTTAAGCGACTGGCTAACAAGGATGTTTGATATGACTGTTACTATATCTGAAATGTAAAATCCAACCGCCCTTAGAAGTATCTCCTTCCTATTGGGAGTCTGAGACGTTGATATACTATCAGTCGC